ATATGTGTATGTGTATCATAATATAATACAATTTTCCGATTTTCTGTTTCAGAAACTACAAAAGCATTGAAAACAGCTATTCAATAAGCTGAATAAACTACGATAATTGCAAAGAACTGATGTAGCTTAGAAGGTTGTGAGACAAGACATTTAATCAGCTATAGGAACTACTGTACAAAAAGATATTAATACAGTATGTACCTATAGATAAAAATTTCAAAATTGAAATTGCAAGAAAATTGATTTTTTTAAGTCAAAGGTAATATGAAAAAATCAGTTATCCGAACAATCTTTTTATCCAATCTCATTTGCTTTAACGAAACCCTACTGTACATACTAAAATTAATAATTAGATAATTAAATACTTAGTGTAGAAATGCAGTATAGCGATCAGGTTGATAAACCTAAATAATGGGATAAGTACATAATAGGAAAAAGATAACGACCGACTCGTTAAAACCGAATATTTATTTTATAATTCAATGTATTTACTTGTTATAACCGATAACTCATAATAACCATACTTATTGTTGTAAATGTATATTTAATATAGAAATCATATAAGCTTATGTCGAGACCTAACGTTTTGCTTAATGTAAACAGTATTTTGCTCTAAGCGATGCTGGTTATAATGATTTCTACTGTATATTATATATATAAAAAAAAAATTAACACGTAATAGTCATCATATTGCTGGTAATGGGATTTAATTTGTTCATAACAAGAAACAGTGGGCAAGTACAACAAATAGTATGTGTAGATATATAAAAAAAATATGTAACATAATAGTAACTCATTTTTTATATAAATTATTTTACAACATGGCATAAGTCTTAAATTAAAAAAATATTTATTAGTAAGGGGACCATGAAAGATAGTACTTAATGATAACAATGAAARATATAATATATTATATTATTATATCTTATATATTAATGATTAAGATACAACAATAATACTTTAAGTGCCGGATCACACTATGCGTTTTGTCGGTTGCCGATAAAATGTATCCCGATTAACCGCAAGCGAGAAGAC